TTCATGTACTTTTTTGTTTATTCAAAATTTGTTGTGTTTCTAAACTGATTTTTTTTTTGTCTTTGCTGTACTTCCTCATCTAGAAATGCAGCAGTGCACACGTCTTATCAGCTGTGTGTAAAGTACAAACAGATATCTTATCAGTTGTTTGTAAATAGCAAATAAAGAAAGTGGCCCAACTTAAAACTATTTACCAGTTATGTTTTATAACCATGCATATTAATGAGATGCACTAGTTGGGCGTACACTTGGTAAACAAAAACTTGGGTATTTGTTTGCACACAAGAAAAAAAACAGTTTACTTGTGCAAGATTTTTTTTTTCAATAAAATATATACACCAATGTATGTAGCATGCCTTAGGGAGCTATTCTTGTGATTTTCAAAAAAAAAATGTGAAACGTGCCCAAAAAACTATTCATGCCGTTGTTTATTCAACTTACCTTGGTTTTGTCAGTGCTTACTCTAAAATATATGTGGAAGAATCAAATTACTTTCAAACAAATGGTTATAGTCAAAACAAATTTCAAGTCAGTTTTGTGAAGTTCAGGATTTCAGTAGATTTTTTCTACCTGTCCAAAATATTGAGTGTCTGTCTGAAAGACTGCTGGGTCACTAAGCCTGGTTCCATATGATGTATCCAATGCATACATATATAATGTGCATAATGACTGTAGCAATTTAATGTAACTTTTCTTTCACTTGTAGTTTCAGAAAAATAGTAACCCTATTTGGTCGCAATCCGGAGAGTATGACATATTATCTGAGTTCCAGTATTGCTGCAAATCGTATATACATTTCTCGCAATCATGCCAGAGTGGTGATATCAACTACAAATAATGAACATAAATTAATCGACTCTAGTATGAACGGGATGTTTATAAATGATTGTAAAATATCAGGTGAGTAGAAGCAAAAATTTGAAAGAAATTTATGGATGTCTTTATTAGTCCCCGTTCGGACGTAGTCCGAAAACAGGGACTTATGTTTTGGCCTGTGTGCGTCCATCCGTCCGTCCGTCCGTGCGTCCGTCCGTGATCACCTGTATCTCGAACATGCATGGACCGATTTAGTTCAAACTCCACTCATACATCACACATTATATGGGACATATGCACATGCATTTTTTTCATGATCCGATTAACGATAGCCGAATAGCGGCCATTTTAAGGCCGAAAATGCATCAAAATCGCACATTTTCACCATTCCGGACCCGAATCTCAGTTATGCATGGACGGATTCTGTTC